CCCCGCCCCGCCCCGCCCCACCTCGCCCCTCGCTCCGATCTGCTTGCCGGCCCTCTTCGATCACTCGGTGCCCCGTGTCTTATCCCCGGCTTGGGCGCAAGAATGCCCGGCGGGGTTGGGGGTTAGAGTCTGGCAGGCAAAATCGGTGTCAGTTCAGAGCCTGTCTCCAGCTAATCGGTCATCTCCAGTGGCGCGCATGTGTGTGTGTGTGTGTGTGTGTGTGTGTATGTTCACTGCGCACCCGAGTCCCGGCCGGGCCCGCCGCGGAGCGCAGGCGAAGGGCGGGTCAACACCAGGGAAACTCCTCGGCAGGTGACGACATTGACCGTTCGACATCACTCCGGCCGGAGAGCCCCCCAGGGAGCTGGGCTGTTGCTGTGTGACTGTAAAAAAGGAAAACCCCACCCGAGAAGAAGGCACGAGCGCCAGGCGCCCCGAGTCCACCCACGTAGGGGGGCCACATTGTCGAGCCAGCGCGCCCCCCCCCCTCCTCCTTCTCCGCTGGCCACGCCGGGCATCACCCGCCCCGGGCCGCGAGCCCGCCCTCCCAGCGCGGTGCCAGGGCCGAAGCCGAGGTGGGCCAGCATCAGGCTGGCTCCCGTGTGTGTGTGTGTGTATGTATGTGTGTGTGTGTGTGTGCCCCAGTGCCGAGCATATGAAGCCAGCAGGCGGTGATCGGATGCATCGCGATTAACCGATCGGTCCGCCTGGGGGCCGCACCCCGCCCAACCAGCGACTCGACAACACCCGCCCAAAACCGCCACCGACCCCTTGGCCCCGGAGGCTGCCCGCCCCCCGGCCCTCGGTGCCCCCTCCAACTCATCTGCTCCGGCCGGGCGGCCAGTCCGCATTCCGGCCCGATTGCCAACTCACACACGGCCCGGCCAGGCGCAATGCGCCGGAGCTGAGACCGCCAGACTCCCGCACTCGCCCCTGGCCTGGCCCGCCACTCGTGCCTGCTCCCGGCCGGGGCGTCCATCGATCTGTGGACCTGGCAGGTGCGCGCGTGTATCGCGGCACAGCCGTGCGTCGATGCGCGCATGCGTCTGCCTGTATGCATACACCCGGGCATGCGTCCGGGACAGGGGCCGGGATGGGTCGATGATGGCCGAGACATGGCGGTAGCCCGAGATACAGATGGAGAGAACAAGCACGGGGGGCGGGGGGGAAGGGCGCAGGAGCCGAGATGCATAGGGCAAGATCGCTCCCGAGCGATTGGGGGCCCGGTCTGTGTGTGTGTGTGTGTGTGTGTGCCTTGGTCCTCCCGTGGCTCCGGGCCGTGCCACCCAGTCCCCGGACCGCTCGCGGCACCCCCGCCAGGCCCGGAGGGCGGGGAAGGTATATAAAGGGACACACCGGGGCCGGGATCAGCAGACTCCCAGGACATCGAGATAGAAAGATACTCCTTCGTTTTTCTATTTCACTCTCCCCCCTGGATTTTGTCGCATTTTTGCCCACTCTCTCCTGGACCCTCTCTCCGTCAAGATGATGAACGCCTTCTCCCGTCAGGCCGTCAACGCGGCTCGCACCGCCGCCCGCGCCCCGGCCCGCAACATCTCCACCTCCAGCACCGGCAGCTTCTCCAAGGTACGGCCTTCCCTTTTGGTGTGCTTGCATCGCGCGGGAGCGGGGGGACCGGCCGCCTGGGGGCGCCCGCCTCCGCCGAAGGGCGGCTGTGCCTGGGTGTCCTTTTCTTGGTTCCTTTTTTTTTTTTGCCGCCCCGGCGCGTTTTTCTTTTGCCGAATGCCCTCCCACACAGGACATGGACTGACGGCGCCCTTTCCCTGCCTTCTTCCGGCATGGCATTTGCCATCACACCCGGCATCGGCCTCCCGCAGCCCGCCCCTGGTGCCGCCAACAAGGGCAGCATGCCCAAGAAGCCCTCCGACAGCGGCTCTCTGCCCCACTCCAAGACCCCGGGCACCGGCCACATGCCCAACAAGCCCATGGGCAGCTCTCAGACCGGCCCCACCCGCGGCCCGCAGAGCAAGAACCTCTACGAGACCCCCTTCCAGAAGGTGCGCACAGCATAGGGCGACGCTTGTGTCCTCCTGTCCCCCTCCCCCACGCTCCGCCTTCCCGATACCCTCCCCGCCGGCCGGCCTCTTTGGTCCGTGTGGGGATGGCTGCCGCCGCGTTCTTGCCTGCTTCCTCTCTCGCGCAACTCGCCGGGAACCAAGAGGTCGAGCGGGCGCGCGCGCGGGCCTGTCTGTCTGTCTGTCTGTCTGTGTGTGTGTGTGTGTGTGTGCCCATGTGTCCCCATGTGTCTGTGCGCATGCGAGCGTGTCTGAGCCAAGCAATCGGGGTGTCACCCCTCGGCCTTCTCTCCTGTTTGATTGGTGGTCAGTGCTTGAGGAGAGCCACACCCGCGCCGCACATGGGATCCCGGGACCCAGGGGGACGTGAGGCGGCCGCCATGAAACGGAGCAGCTCGATGGGTGGGGGCCCCTGCCACAGGGGGGGGCACCCGCCAGCGCCTGCTCTGCCATAGTGTGCGGCCTTCTTCCCGTGTCCCCGGGCCTCTGTCTGTGTATGCGCGCGTGCGTGTGTGTCTGTGTATGCATGTGCATGTGCATGTGCATGTGCATGTGCATGTGCATGTGCATGTGCATGTGTGTGTGTGTGTGTGTATGTGCACGCGCGCACGCGATGCAAGGGCGTGTGTTTAGTTTCCGTGTGTTTGGGTGTGCCAGCGGGCAGGCCCGCGTGTCCTCGCCGTCCGCGTCCCGGCCAGCCATCGCCGCCCCCCGGGTATCTTGTCTGTGTCTGTGTCTGTGTCTGTGTGCGCGCGAGTGTGCATGTCCAAGCTGTGTTTGAGAGCGAAAGACCGAAGCCCCTGACGACCCTTTCCAATCCAGAACGCGGACATCTTCCGTTAATTACTTACTCTTCTCTGCCCAACCCGTTCTCGGACGAATGTGTGTCACATGCCTTCTTCGCTCCTCGCTCCTTCCCCCTTCTCCCGCCCTTCCTGTCGCCTTGTTGTTGTTTTTTTTTTTCGCCGGCCCTTTTCTTCTTGTCCCCTTTCCGCGCTCGCGCGCGCGTGCGTGTGTGTGTGTCCCCTCCACGCACGCGTGTCCGGCATGTCCCCACCCTCCTCCCTGCCACTCGTTCGTCTGCGTCAAATCTCGCGGCCCCTCCTCCCACGGTGGACTCATGCGCCTTTGTTTTCATCCGGGCCCCCCCTGCCGCGCTTGCTCTCTTTCTTCCCCTCCTCTCCGTCCCCACCCTTCCTGGGCGGTGTTCTACTACACCCGTGGCGTGTGCGATCGCCCGCCCGCCCGGCCGCCTGCCCGGTTGTTTGCGCTCTCGCCCGGCCTCTCGCGTGTGTGCCCCGTGCGCCTCTTGGCCTGTCACTGCTTGCGACTCCCCGCTCTGCCGCTGCCTGGCACTTTGGCAATCCCGCTTCAGAAGTAAGCGGCTAGGGTGTGTCGGCTTCGGCGGCGGCGGCGGCGGCGGCGCTGCGTCCTCGCCGCCCTTCCTCCCTCCCCTCGGCATGGCGTCCCATCGGCATCCCCAGTCTTGTTGCTGAGGGCTGACGAGCAGGGACTTCGTGTGTCAGGGCGCGCGGCCGTGTGCGTGCATGCATCGGTGTGCCGGCTCTCTTCGCGCGCCGCGCCCGGCTTCGGGCGCGGCGGCCAGGATCGGCCACAGAAAGCATGTGTGCATGGCCGCGCGCCCACGAGGGGGGGGAGGGGGGGGGGGCTGAAGGCGTCCGATCTGGCGGCCCTTCTTCCCCCCCGCCTCCCGTGCCTCTCTTCCCCACACGAAACAAATCGCCGCGCCACTCCGGCGCCACGCCCCCCCCCCCAGAGGTGAAGTGGTCCAGCAGGCGCCGGGCGCAACTGCCTCGCCGTGTTGTTCCATTGCCTTCTGTGTGTGCCCCACCCTGCGACGAGCGCCCCCCCCCCCCGCGCTCCCCCATGGGTGGTGCACACTCGTGCACCTTCTTTGTGGAGCTGGCCAGGAGTACGCGTGCACGCACGCGCACGCGCACGCCTATGCACATGTATGCGTGTGGGTGTGTGTGTGTGTGTGTGTCCGTGTGTGTGTGTATCTCGATAAACACATCTCTTCGTGTGTGAAGATCATTCTGCTTTTGTTTTCCCCCTCTCTCGCCCCCCTGGTCGGTCGCCTTCCTCTGTGCGGGTTCCTCCGTCACGCCATCCTTTCCCCCCGCTGCCTCTCTCTCTCTCTCTACATGCCTTCCTCCCTCTTTGAACTTCATCAACCCGGGCAGGGGCCTTGGCACGGGATGGGGCGCACTTTCGCTTGTGAAGGGGGTGGGCATGCCGGATAGGAGGCTTTCCCGGGCGCCCTCCCGCCACGAGGTTTTCCAAAGACACGTCTAGAGCCCCCCTTTCTTTCCAGGTGCTGCAGGAGCAGCCCTCTTTTTTGTGAGGGGAAGAGAGGGAGACACACCTTCTCAGGGCACGATGTTCCGCCGCGCCCTGGAGGGGGGGGGGAGAGAGAGAGGCTTTGGTCGTGGCATGAGCTTCCTCCTCCTGCGATCCGGCCGAGCGACTTATGTGTGCGCCGGGGGCACGAGGGGAAAAGACGAGCAGGGGCGGCCCCGGGGGTGTCTGTGCTGTCCTCGCGCGCCCCTGGTGTGTGTGCGCATGTGACTTGTTCCGCGAGGACCCTGCACATAGTTCGAGGGCGGGAAGCATGCCTGGGTGTATATGTGCGTCTGCGTCTGCGTCTGCGTGTGTGTGTGTGTGTGTGTGTGTGTGTGTGTCCGTGTGTGTGAGCGAGACGAGGTGTTGCTCACGGGCTTCCACTTGAAGGTTCGCCGCTCGGCAGGGCTCGCCGCCAGTGTGGCACGTGCCCATGTGCATATGTTGTATGGCCGTTTTTTGGCCATTCGCTTGCTTATTGGGCGGCGTACGGCGGCAGGCAGCAGATTCTCCCCTCCCGCGCGCAGGCTCGGGGGGGGGGCCAGTCGGTGTGCGCGATTGTGGGTGAGTGTACATGAGATTGTGGGCAAAGATGCGCATGTGTCCGTGCGCGAGCGTGCGCAGGGACATGCGTTTGTGCGCAGGCCCACGGTGCGCACGAAGTGTGCATATGCATGCTCCTTCCTTTGTTTTTTTTCCCCACACAGTCAGGGGCATTTGCCCCAAACCCCGAGCTCGAGAGAGTCGCGGAGGCCCAGCCGCTCCTCCGGTGTGCAGGACGATGTCAGCCCAGGCCCTTCGGCCTGCGCGCTGCCTCCTGGGGCGCCGAAAAATGCGCTCGCACAGTTCAGCCAGTTAGCATCTCCATGAACATGTGTGTGTGTGAATACCTGTGTGTGATATTTGCCCAGGCGCGCAAGTAGGCTTGCTTACACTGGCCACCGGTCTGTGTCAGACGCCCTCTCGACCCGTGCAGATTGCGATGCGCGCGCACCATGCACAGGTTGCTGCCACGCTTCTCCGGCCCCCCCCCCCCCCCCCCGCGCATGGTCGCGCACCGTCCCATGCACATTCGGGCGTGTGCCGCCTGCGCACCTGCTCGACGACACAGGGCTCCTCCTCCGATCGACGTTCGCGTGCGAGGCGTGCGCCGCTGTTCGCGGGGGGAAGGGGGGGCGGGGGGGCGGGGGGGCGGGCGACGCCGGCGCCCGTCGCGAGCCAGGGCGGGTTGCTTTCCACGGGTGGGGACCGTCTGCCTGGTGTCCCCCCGGCGCATGTGTGCCTGGTCCCCATGATGCGGGATAGCGCGCGTGCTTGGTGCTCGGCTCGCCCCCGGAAGAAAGGGGCCTGGCCGTTTGATGGCCGCCCTGCCTGCTTTCTATTCCTTGGCCCTGCGCCCTTCCTCTCTTTCTCGTACTTCCTTCTTGGCTCCTGCGCGCGGGCGCGCGCACATATCCCAGGCGAAGCAAGCACACGCGCAAGCAAGCAGACAGACAAGAAAAAAAAACCCAACCCCAAACCCATCCACTGACTGGCGACTCTTGCAAAACCATCCCTCGAACCACGCCCCCCGCCGCCGCATTATACCGCCCTTTGCCTCCCGGCCCATATCGCCATCGGGTGTGGTGCTTTCTCCTACAAACGAATACGCCCATACATGTCCGCGCACGCCGCACCCCCTCCCCCGCCATGCGGACGTGCGCGCGCCTGTTTTCGTGTGTCGCACCATCCGGCACGCGCGCTGCGCGCCCGGCCACGACACCGTCGTGCCCGCCCTCCTCTTTCGCCGCGCTTCTTTCTCTTTTGCCCTGCTGCGCCATCTGCGACGGGGTTCGTGTGTCCGTTTGCTCGTGTGTGTGTATGTGTGTGTGTGTGTGTGTGTGTGTGCATGTCCCCGTGCGTTGTCCGTGTTCGTGTGTGTTTGCGCGCCGCGATCGCGTGTTGTGCCCCTGTTGCGGCGGGCCCCGCTTGCTGCGCCTCGGGGCGGATCGGGATATCGGCCACGCGCGCACATGCGCCGCCACCCCCGGCGAACGCCTCCTGTGACGCTCTCGGGGTCCGGGTGCGCGGGGTGGCGGGGGGGGGGGCGGGCCGAAACCGCCACACTTCGGCTGCTGGCTGGGGTAACGCTCCGGACGGCAGAATGGCTCGCGCTTCTACTCCACCTCCACCACCCGGTCGCTTGTGTCCGGGGGCATGACGTACCGCGGGAGCCACGGCGAGCAGCACCACGGCAGCCACCACCACCACCACCACCAGGGCGGCAGCGGCAGCGGCCGCGGCATGCGCCACGGCGCGGCCTCGGTGGACATCGTCCGGCCGCTGTCGACCATGGCCAGCCGGCCGACGACCGGCCACGACGATGACATGGCCGGCGGCACCGACCGGAGCCGGCTCTACCAAACCCGGCGTCTGGAGGAGGAGCAGCGCCGCAACACCATGCACGAGCAGCAGGTCTGGAGCCACTACGACCTGATGCGCCGGGACAATGAGCGCGCGGCGGAGAGCGCGCGCGGGGCCCTGCGCGGGACCAGCAGCATGCCGGCCACCCCGCGGCCGTCCGCCTCGCCGGCCTCCGGCAGCCCGATGTTCGGCGGCCACCGGCGCATGGTGGACACCGGCAAGGGCAGCACCGGCGCCGGGGACTTCCGGGCCCCGGACTACGGGACCCCGCGGAACTTCTACGGCACCCACGAGGGGGGCCGGCCGCGCGACGCCGGCGAGTACATCGAGGTGGAGGACCCGCGCCACGACGCGCCCACCGACTTCGAGGCCGAGCGCCACGATGGGCACTACTATGGGCCGCCGACGCCGCGGGCCGGCGAGCGCCTGGCCGGGCGGTTCTCCCGCCGCCAGCACTTCGACCATGATGACGGCGAGCATGCCGGCAGCGGGGGCGGTGGCATGCGCCACGGCGGCCGCCACCACCATGGTGGCGACAGCTGGCGCCAGTCGGCCGACCATCGGCGCCGGGCCGCCGGCAGCGGGTCCTACTACGAGGACGACGAGCCCCGGGGAGGGTATGCCTCGTCGCCGCGCGATCGCAGCTTCGGCCAGCAGGTGGAGGACTTCGAGCGGTCGTGGCGTGCCGGGGCCCGGCTGTCCGGCCGCGGTGGGGCCAGCGCCAGCGCCGGCGGCATGGTGGACCAGCTGATGCAGGAGGGCGGTCGTGCCCTCGGCGAGCTGGCCAAGTCCCCCCGTGGGGAGCTCATGCGCCGGGATGCCACCAGCGCCATGCGCGAGGGCCAGAAGACCCTGGAGGCGGTGTCCTCCGGGGACCTGGCCGGCGGGGCCATGCACGCCATCAATGCGCTGAAGCGCGGCCGCCGGTCCATTCGCCAGGCCGGCGACGAGGTGGCCGACCGGCTGGCGGACGCCGGCGAGCGCCTGGCCCAGACCGATGGCGCCCGCCGGGCCAGCGACGCCCTGACTCGCGGGGCCTCGCGTGCCTTCGACCACATCCGCCATGGGGACCTGTCGGGGGCCTTGAATGAGGCCGGCCGCGCGGCCGGCCAGATGGCCGAGGGCCTGACCAGCGCCCTGTCCTCGACGGCCATGCCGCATGATGATGCTGACAAGCGGCGCATGATGATGCGCGAGGAGGAGGGCGGCCGCGAGCGCCAGCGCGACAGCCACTACGGCCACCGCCAGCATGATGATGATGACGACGACCGGGACTTCGCCCGGCACCATGAGGACGATCGCCACTTCGAGGGCCCCGACGGCCGGGCCTCGCGCCGCCGCCACTCCTCCCACCACTACTACCGCCACCACGAGGACGACACCGGCCCCGGCGGCAGCATGCTGGACTCCTTCGATGGCCAGCGCCTGCGCCAGCAGCTGGACCATGCCCTGGAGGAGGGCGAGCGCATGGGCCGCGGCATGGCCCGGTCGGCGTCGCGGTACCTGGGCGACCTGGCCGACAGTGAGTACCCCTCGGCCCGGCGTCTGGCCGAGCGCGTGGAGCACGGGGCCGAGCGCCTGGTCGACGGGGCGGCCGAGATGTCGGAGCGCGCGGCCGGGGCCGCCCGGCGCTGGGCCGAGCGCATGGGCGACGAGGCCCAGGAGTACTTCGACCGGCACCCGGTGCGCGGGGAGGAGGGCGGCCACCGCGAGCATGCCATGGCCCAGCGCCGGGCCGGGCCGCGTTACACCTACGAGGATGCCGACAGCGAATTCACCAATGACCGTCGGATGATGGACGCCGATCGCCGGCACCACCAGCGGGCCGGGTTCAGCCAGCTGGACGGCCGCCGGACTTCCTTCGCGCCGCACCACGCCGACCACGACTCCGAGTACTCGACGTCCCTGTCCGGCGAGTCGGGTTTTCGCCGGGGCGCCGGCCCCATGGCCGGCGCTAATCGCCGCTTCGCCGACGAGCAGGTCGGCGACTTTGAGGGGGACTCCGGCTTCGATCACCACCGTCGCCGGGAGGCCTTTCGCCACTTCGAGGACGAGCAGCAGCACTACCACCGGCGGCAGCTGCACGATGACGACCGCGATGCCGACGACTGGCAGATGATGAAGATGACCGAGGGCAACCGCCGGAAGTACTTGGATGAGCACCGCCGCATGGATGAGGATGGGGGCTTCCACGCGTCGCCGGATGCCGCCGGCGGCGACCGGCACCTGCTGCACCAGCAGCGGCGCGACCGCGGCATGGCCGACCACCGGTACCGCCATGATGCCGCTGCTGATGGGCGCGACGCCACGGCGGCGGCCAGCCACGGCGCGGACAAGCCCGGCGTCATGGCCAGCGTGCTGACCTCCCTCAAGGAGGCCTTCACCGGGCAGGCCACCCCGGCGGCGGATGCCGCCCACCAGGCGGCCAATGCGGTGCGGCCGGCCGCCGAGGCGGTCAAGGACTCGGCCGAGTCGCTGGCCGACGGGGCCCGCCGGGCCCTCTCCGACACGGCCCAGTCGCTGGCCGACAAGGCGGACGTGGCGCGCGCCGTGCTCAAGCACGAGGTGCACAGCATCCAGCGCGACTTGTCCTCCGGCCGGAAGGACATCGGCCAGGTGGCCGGCGAGGTGGCCGACAAGATGGGCACCGTGGTGGGCAAGGCGGTGCAGGCCGGCCGCGAGGCCTTCGACGAGGCCCGCCACCAGCTGGTCGACGGGGCCAAGACCGACCGCGATGGGGGGCCCCCCGGCGGGGCCTTCTCGCGCCAGCACCACCACCATGACCACCACCATGAGCGCCGCGAGGGGGACCACCATTACAACCGGTATGACACCCTGGAGGGCGACATGGACCCCGAGGACCTGGCCGCCCGGAAGAAGCTCATCGACCCGGCGGTCATCGGCAAGCCCGGGCTCAGCGCCATGGACCGGACGTCCGCCAAGCGGACCGCCTCGCCGGAGTGCGCCAAGTACGCCCGGCCCAAGCGCCTGCCGCTGGGGCCGCTGGACGAGCTGATCCACGGCGGCGTGCGGCCGCAGTCCCAGGACCCGACCGACACCGGGTCCTGGAGCATGGCCGAGGTCAACCGCCGGATGGAGGCCGGCCAGAACCACATCGCCGCCAACCCGAAGGCCGTGCCGAATGAGCACCTGGCCAATGCCACGCCCATTTGGGCGCAGCGCACCCGCGCGGTGGACCACCTGCCGCGCATTGCCCAGGCCGTGGTCGACATGGCCAGCAGCCTGACCGCCGGCAGCGACCCGAAGCGCATCAACCGCGAGTGGGTGGAGAACCGCGCGGAAACCGACAAGCTGGAGAGCGAGCGCAAGGCCCGCGAGGCGGAGAAGGCCAGCGCCGAGGCCCTGGCGGGGCGGAAGAAGGCCGACGACGCCTCCTCGGCGGCGGCCACCGACCGCCAGCAGCGCCAAGCCGATGATGGCAAGGCCCGCAGCGAGTCGTCCGGCTACTCCTCGGCCCCGAGGCCGGAGTCGCACCATGCCGACGCGCAGCAGCGCGCGGCCTTCAGCCTGGGCGCCGGCCGCGCCAGCAGCAGCCCGCCCAACCCGGCGGCCGACGGCGGGGCCAGCATCTTCGGCGCCCACCCGATGTCGGTGGACCACCACATCCGGTCCAAGTCCTCCACCGGCGCCGAGGCCCAGGAGGGGCGCTTCATGTCCGAGGGCCAGCGCAAGGCCGGCGGCATGCTGACCGGCTTCTGGCCGTGGGCCTCCAATGCCCGGCCCATGGCCGGCCACGCGGTGGACGCCGCCAGCTCCACCGACCGCCACTCCGCGGCCCACCACTACGAGACGGAGATGGCCGACGCCGCGGCCCCCGGGTACCAGGCCTCCGGCCGGTCCACCTCGCCGGCGGCCGCCGGCGGCCAAACGCACCAGCACTACCGCCGGCCGGAGCTGCACTCCTCCTCGACCGGGTCCACCCGGGCGGCGTCCCCCTCCTCCAGCCGGACATCCATGGCCGGCGGCCAGCACGAGGACATGAGCAGCAGCAGCCGCCGCCGCGACCGCAGCAGCAGCAGCAGCAGCAGCAGCAGCAGGTACAGTGAGCGCTATACGGGGGAGGGAATCATCACGCCCTGGGTGTCGTCCTCCTTCATGGGCAGCCCGCTCTCCTCGCCCGGGGAGTTTGGCAGCGCCCAGGACTGGAACACCATCAGCACCCTGAGCATCGGCAAGGATGGCGTCGTCAATCAGGAGGACGTGAGCCGGCTGTACCCGCCGGCCGGGGTGGGCCCCAACGCCGGCGGGAGTTCCCCCGGCCCGGAGGTCTTCGCCGACCGGGCGCCCGGCGGGCAGTTGTGGTCGGCGCCGCTGGGCGGCCGGGCGATGGCGCGGGGTCGGCGCGGCACCGCCGCCGCCGCCGGCCGCCGGTCGTCGTCCCCCTCGTCGCCGCGCAAGAACTTGGCCACGCCGCATGGGGCAGCGGCGCCGCTGCCCGGCGACCAGTCCGACACCGGGCAAAAGCGCAACCTGCTGAACAACTACTTCCGGCCGTTGAGCTCGGCCGAGCGCCAGGCCGCCAAGGCGGTGGCCGGGGACTTCGACAGCGACCGCGTGGCCCGGCATGCGGACAGCCGCAATGCCCGGTTCACGGTGACCCCGCACAGCAGCACGGCCACCGAGCTGGCCCGGGCGTCCGAGTATGACGGCCGGGCGCACCGCCGTGCCGAGAAGCTGACGCACTCCGCCGACTCGGCCCTTCGGGCCAGTGTCAGCGGCCTGTCCCCGCGCCAGGATTCCGACTCCATGGCCGAGTTCCAGCAGGGCCGGGCCGACCTGTCCGCGCAGTACACCGGCGATCCGCAGTACCAGCAGCAGCAGCAGCCGCCGCCCCGGCCGACGGCGTCCAGCCACATGTGATGATCCGGCGGCTGATCGATGATCCTCCCTCCCCGCCTCTGCCCGC